ATAGTTTGAGGTGAGTTTGATCAGAAAAGAAATTAAGGAAGTATATCCTGGTCAGTCCCAGTGACATTTATGTTCATACATCAGTTTTAATGGGCCAAATTATTACACATGTAAAACAAAAAGTTTATTTCATGGTTGTATTATTGTGGTGTTTTCTTATATTTCAGGGTTTCAAGTATAGTAGCTCGCCTTTAGCTACGGGCAACATGGTTAGATATGGTGTACAACCTAGGTTTTTGGAGGTAGCTCACAAGGAGCAAAATTTTCGCGTTTACGGGTTGGGCTCGCGTGTAGTTTCGGTGTGGCAGCCTGTGGGCTACCTTGCTAGGGCCACCTAGGTTGTACTCGGCTAAGCTGCCATATCATGTCCACCTAGCCTCTCTTGGAACAAATGGCGGTAAGTCATACTCACTTTATAATATTCAGATATTTGTTGACTTCTACCTAGTTGATTTAGAAAAGGTGTGCTAGTTTACTTTATATATTACCTTTGATTTAGTAGAAATAAATCCCACTTTCGTAAGCCAATTACAAGTCGTGTCTCATATTGTATAGCTATACAGAATCACCTCTTTCACAATTTTCCAATGAATCTGGTTGAGAGTTAATTTATATCATTGATGGGAATAAGTACTTGAAGGATCAGGGGTTAGATAAGCAAATCAAATCACCTTTATTCAATCAAGATGAGCCAGATCAGTTAGCATAAGCAGGAAAATTACGTTTTTTATGCGGAGGAATTATCCCTTAGGGGTGTTTCGCAACTTGAAACATAGACAATGAAATGCCAAGTATGGGGATCAGTTCTTGATTGGTTTCAGACGAAAACACCTTGAAAATGGCAATGAGAAAACATCCTATTTTTTCTGAATTGGCTCTATTAAAACTAGGTAGAAATCAACAGGTGTCAGACTATTACTTGATTAAAAAAAATTCTGTGCACTATTCACGCAACAAGGCGGTCATGATGTTGATTGCAACAAAATCTAATTGCGGACTGTCAAGATTAATTAGGGTGAAAATGTACAGTATGTATTCTGTGATAAAATAACGTATTAAATATCTAATTTTAGGAGTGCATTTCTAGATCGCCATACAATTGAAATATTGAGCACTATTTCAACAGTGAAAGTATTTTGTTATGGTAATTTTAGATGGCATAGCGTGAAACGACATGATTTTTGAGGTTCTGTTTAATTTTTCTAATTTTAGGTGTATACAGATAGAGCTTCAATATATATGAATAAAGTGCTTATGGTGTGGCATGGAAGCTCCTCGTGTAAGTTTCAAATTATCATATTTTAGAAATTCTGTTAATACCTGTTCTGGCATATCATGCATAAAGTCAAATGGTTAAAACATGACGAGGGACGCTTGGTGGCTCAGTGTGCTACAGGTTGTGCATCCGAAAGATCTGTCGACTTTTAACATGGAAAACATGTACTACTTCCCTGACAAAATTACATCACACACTACATGTTGTTGTATGTTCTCATTAGCCCTATCAGATGCATAAACGAAAAACGTAAAACATCACCTTATTCCATGTTTTAAATCTAGAACAGGTTATGACAACTCGATATCCCTTGAAGAGTACACTTTTAGGGAACTCTGAATTAAGACTGGGTGGTATTCCATTCTTAAATACATTTTTTCTCGATCTTTTAATCTTTAGTGTAGGTTATTATCCGATACACCTCCACTTTTTGTGATACACCTACACTTTTCTGATACACTACACTTTTTGCGAATTTGTTCTGCTGAGTACCGGAAAAGTCCAGGTTACCCTAAAAATGGCGGATGCAATAAAAACAACAGTTCATGATTTTATTACAGGTTATCGTTGAAAGATTCTCTTCGTCCTGTCTTTGAGCAAAGTTCTTGTATTTTCTAAAAAGCACAAAATGTATTTACATCGTATAAATTTGCAAAATTTCATAAAGTTTCAAATAATTTTCTTTAAGATATATCTAAATATTAACAATATTCAGTTCTCGAAAAAGTTATACTATTATATAAACAGACGTATGGAGTTACATTAGTTATAACATCAATTCAGTACATGTATGTAATCAATACAAAAATACGAAAATAAGCATTCATCTGATTAGTAATTTATATATTTTGAAATGGAAATTAAAAGTTGTTTATCAGTCGATGAACCGAATTAGTAAAATCTAGTGTATGTAAATGTACATATGGCACATATTTATATCCGAAATTAGCTCATGTTTTACAAACACGCTTAAAATGAACTACATCTATTGTAAGTCAATGTTCTTTATGAACATTCTAGAATGATGAGTACTAGCAAGTTTCGGTGTTTGGAAAATAATTTAAAAAGGCATGCATTGAAACGTGGCTGAAGAACACTGCTGTGTTGGCGACAGCTAGTTGTTTCCTTGTTATGGCAACAGATCTGTGATGTGAAGGTCCGTTACTATTTTGGTTTCAATCCATTTCAGGTTAGAAAGGGTGAATCTTCTGGTAATTTACCTACCCACTATAGCACTGCCACAATAGGAGTGTTCTGGGGTCATGGCTTGTATGACCCTACAGATCCTCCTACTCACAGATGAAGAACAGAAGAAGCGGCGCGCGCCAACAGATGAAGTGGAACAGATGAAGAACAGATGAAGAACAGATGAAGAGGAACAGATGAAGATGAAGGGCGAATCCTCCACCCATTTTTGGTAAGTTGGTCTTACACACTTTTTTAGACTGATTGTAGCTCATTTAGTTACAGTTTTTGAATCTTGTCGTAAATGTTATCAATCTAACAAGTGGTACTAAATGTTTAGTAAGATCTCAAATTTCAAACATTGTGAGGACTGTACTTCATTCTTTAGAGTGTTGGAACCTTGACTTCATTGGTTTTCCCTCAAACAAATGTTGGCTATTGGTTGTATTTGAAAATGGCAAAAACAGTACTGATGATTTTTAAGAATTGATTCTAGTCAACCTTTCTGTAAATATGAAGTTGACAAGATCTTCAAGAACCTGAGTTGTTACTCTTGAAAGAAATAGTCTTGACTTTTGTATTTTCACAAGGATCTATCACACCGAGACTCCTGTTTCTGTCTGATTTTCACAAAACTTGGACAGGTTAGATTTGATGGTTTGATGATTTGTATAGAAATGGCCATTGCCACTCGCCAAGCAGGCCATGCTTATTCCTTTCTGTAAATATGAATATACAGTGAGGTTTGACTAAGGACCAGTAAGTTAACAAGATCTGCAAGAACCTGAGTTGTTACTCTTGAAAAAAATAGTCTTGACTTTTGTATTTTCACGAGGATCTATCACACCCAGACTACTGTTTCTCTCTGATTTTCACGAAACTTGGACAGGTTGGATTTGATTTTTTTTGATGATTTGTATAGGTAGTTTCTTGATATCTTGGACAGGTTTGAGGTTCGAGCGATGAATATGTTAGGCCTATCGTATTGTGCAAGTCGTTGTGATTACTGTGACAGCTTGGTTGAATCTCCAGTCGCTCAGTGGCATAGCCCCCTTCAATCCCCATGTAGTCAATTTTTGAACCCATATTTGTACTTTGGGAGGCTGGCACAGCCACTGTAACTCCTAGTTAGGTAAGTTTCTAAACTCTCACTTCTGTTTACTACGGCTTCGTGCAGTTTTAAATTAAAAAGTATGAATTAATTAAATGAAAATTGGGAAATATTTGTATACAGCAGTAAACCATGTAATCTTTTTTTTTAAAAAAAGGTTAAATTCAAACGAACAGAAACTTTGACAGTTACCATGAATTAGAAATGAAATGAAATGAAGTGTGATTGGAGTTTTACATCCTACTTTTCATCACATGTCATGAA